ATGGGAGCAGGGGACCATCCGGAGCAGGTTCCTGTTATTCATTTGGAATAGATTTCACAGAATCCCAGCCTGGTTTGTGTTTGAAAGGACCTTAAAGCTCCTCCAGCTCCAACCCCTGCCACGGGCAGGGACACCTTCCACTAGAGCAGCTTGCTCCAAGCCCTGTGTCCAACCTGGCCTTGAACACTGCCAGGGATGGGGCAGCCACAGCTTCTCTGGGCACCCTGTGCCAGAGCCTCAGAACCTTTTCTTGTGTGGCATCCCACAGAGCAGCCAGCACCAATGTTATCTTATGGATTCTGCTCCTGCCTCCACCCCCTGTTCTGGCAGACAGCATTGCTGCTTGGATTTGAGATCTCTGTGCCCCCCATCTGTACAGCACCTTGTGACACCGGCTCCTTTTCATTGCCACAGTGCCATCGGGACTGGGATATCCAGACATCTCTCTGCTCTGGTCCCTGGGCTCTGACACCAGGATCCTGTGTCTCCTCCTGCCCAGCAGCTCTGTCATCTGCCCGGTGTTCACCACCATGGTGCCACTTCTGATGAGCTCAGTGGAGTCCCATGTGGGGTTTGGTGCCACCAGGCTTTGCAGGAGGGTTTTCAAAGCCCCAAAGCAGAGCTAGCCCAAGAAACCTGAGGACCTCCAGCTTTGCATTATTATCCTGCTGTGCATTTGAGCTCCTGTGGAGCTGGAATCAAACCTTTGATGGGGAAGAAAGGGAGGGCAAGACCTTGTCAGCAGCCCTGCAGGTGAGGCAGCTCCAACTGAGGTTAGTGCAGAAAACTCATGATGTTTAAAAGACTCGGGTGTGCTGCAGAGCAGTGGAGTGCTGGGGTCTCTGATCTGCAGCACTGCCCAGGCACACCTTGGGGATCAGGTCACCATCTCTGTACCAAGGCTGGACCGTATGAGAACAGCTTCCAACCGGTGCCCCATCCCAGGGCGTGCCTCATCCAGCAAAACCAATGAAACCTGAGGTGTAAAAGGAGGCTCTTTCTGCTCACCTCCATGCCTCCAGTGCCCTCCTGGTGCTGCCATGGGCAGGCTGTGCCTGTCGGAGCTTCCCTGCGAAACAGCTCTTCATCTGATGCTTCTGATCTTGAGATCATTTGCACCATGAAAGATGAACTCAGGTGGTTTGGGACTTAGGGCAGCTCTGGGTGCCCCCATGAGATCGAAGTCCAGAGCCATGGCAGAGCTATTCCTAAAACCCCACCAGGAGAGCCCACCCAAGACGTGTGGGTCCAGCAAACACTGCATTGCTGTGACTGATGCACAAACTGACTGCCTGGGCTTTTGCCATGTGCTCGCCCCACAGCCTGATTGCCATGGGAGGGGGGGCAGGGCCTGGCAAGGATGCTCAAGGTGGCTAGATTAGATATGTCTATGTGAGCTGGTCGTGGCAGGTGCCCTAGACAGTCCACGGAGAGAAGCAGGAGCTTTCAGTTGTTATGCCCTGGGAGTGCTTATCCCTCTCATCAGCTACAGTGGGAGCTTGGGATGGCCTGAGCCATGGGGATGTCTCCATGCAAGACATCTACCATGAAGCTGGATAATGATCCTTAAATGCACTGTTAGCAGACAAAATCCAAACCCCAGCTTGAACTGAACTAGGGGAAGGGAAGTTTGCTGCCCTGAAGCCCTTGGAAAGGGGTAGTTCACTTGCCTTGGGGCAGACCTATGAGCCTTCACCGTTGTCTGCTGGAAATGCATGTTTTGAGCAGTTTAGGCTGTAAAAAAAGGTCAGAAAACTATTCCTGGGGAAAAGAATTGTGTGCTGCTGCTTTGCTTCTGTGTCCAGATGTGTGGGCCTGGAGAGCAGCTCTCAAAGCTGGGAACAGGCAAAGTCTGAAGGCTAGAAACAGACCCGTACCTCATCCTCCTGCTGCTGCACCCTCATTGCACAGCCAATGAATAAACCCATTTTAGCAGTGCCTAATGATTGTTGCTGCCACAGGGATATATGGACACTGAGTCATAGTTTGCTTCTTATTCAGGCTGCATCATCATTTGATTCATGGAGCACGCTGTGCATGAACGTGTAAACTGTCCTGCTTGATTTCTTATACCTGCTATAACGATTTGCTCAACAAATGAGGCCTTAAAATGGAAACCTCCCTGGATACTTGCATTGAATTGACCTTCTCCAATGAGAAAGTGTTCCCTTTTTCTCTCATTCACCCACATATCCAGGCTGCTGTTCTCCTGCACTGAGAGCTGGCAGCAAACTCACCATCTCCTTGCTTCACTGCCCCATGCAGTGAAACAGGAGCCACACCAGCTTGGGAGCAAGCATCTGAAGCACCAGGGATGGCAGGGAAGTGTGGAATAACCCTTCCCAGCAAAGCCTGTACACCCATTTCCTTAGTGGGCTCACGTCTATTCCCTTTTGCAACCCAACTACGTGAGAACAGAGAGAACTCGGTGCAAGAAAGGAACTCGACAAGTTTGCCTTGGTGGTGGAGCCTGATGCACGCAGGGGAAGGGCCGGCACCAGGAAGGCAGGGGAACGGGTCAGCGCCGGGAGCGCAGGGGGACCGCGCACTGGTGCAGTAAGCGCTCCCTCTCCTGGGCTGTGCCCACAGTGTCCCAGAGAGACCTCGGCCCAATCTGGAGGTGCCTCAGGCCGGAGAGGCTCCTGGAGCAGGGCAGCGCCTTTCCCTCGGCTTCAGACGGCCCCAGTTCCACATGGGAACTGCTTCCCAACTCCCAAAAGCCCTGGACACTCAATGAAGATACCGTGTTTGAACATCCCCGTGCTCTCTGTGCCCACCAAGATACAGCATCATGCTCTCCCGGGGTAGAAGCTCATCTTGGGGGACCTAAGAACTGGGGAAAATGCTGGGAAGAGATTCAGCCATTCAAAATCACGTCAATAGAGAGCCCAATGTGATCTGCCATTAAGGCAGAAGCTCTTCCCTGTGAGGGTGCTGAGGCGCTGGCACAGGGTGCCCAGAGAAGCTGTGGCTGCCCCATCCCTGGCAGTGTTCAAGGCCAGGTTGGACACAGGGCTTGGAGCAAGCTGCTCTAGTGGAAGGTGTCCCTGCCCGTGGCAGGGGTTGGAGCTGGAGGAGCTTTAAGGTCCCTTCCAACCCAAGCCAATCTGTGATTGTCTGATTTAGAGGGACCAGCAGTCACCAAGGTTATGTACTGTGCTGGGAGCTTCTGAAGGCCGGCAGGGAAAGTGTGTGTCAGCTTTCCATCAGCCTTCAATGCCAGGAGCTTCAAGAGCAGAGGAGATCTGAAAGAAAAACACAAATGAAGTTTCCTTCAAAGAGTAGAAAGGTGGGGGGTGTACCAAGGGGTGAAAAGAAAAGGGCTCTTCTAGGGAGCTGTGACTCAGAAATGGCATTTTCTATATTCTACTAAGAGATGTCAAGTCAGAGGTAATTTATCCACAGCAAGCTGATGCAGTTGCTATGGAGAGCATAATAGGAAGAAACGCTTTTTAAATGCATAGTCTATAGAGGAAGGAAGAGTTTGTCAGATAAAACCTGGGTGTGAGGGTGAAATGCTGATGAGGAACATTAAAGAAAGCTGTCTGCAAGCATTTGCACCTGGCTGTGAATGCAGGGACTGATCCCACCTTGCTCGCCTTCCCTCCTGCCGGGCAGAGGACTGATCCCAGCTCTGCTCATGCAGAAGTGCAGGACATGGTCACTTCCCTGACACTCTGCTCACCTCCCAGCTCCACACAAGTACTGGGCATTGAGACACACTGAGACCTTCCTGGGTGCTCACCCAGTGCATTCCCGTGCTCTGCCGGGCACCAGCAGCTCCTCCAGCCCAGGGGTGCACGGCTGGGCAGGATTTTTCCTGAGATGGAGCTGAGCCCCCTCACTCATGGGCAGGCACAAGCCCTGTTCCCAGTCAAGGCTTGTCCCTGCCCAGATCCCGAACCGCTCCAGGCCAGGGTTAACCCACCTGACCTGCTGGGATGGGAACAGCCCCATGATGGCCTCAGGATGGACACAGGGGAAGTCTCCTGTGGCTGGTGGGACCGTTTTGAACTTCAGCGATAAAAGCCAGGTGTATTCACTGCTGTACCTTGCGTCATTTGTCTCAAATGAAGCATCTCTCATATAACACATGGTCCTTTTCCTGGACCATGCATCTTGCTGTTCAGTGCCAGACGGACTGGGCAGTCTTGCTCCAGCTCGTACTGGTTGACAATGAGCCAAGGGGTGACATTTGCCTGAAAACAATTGCCCTGATGTGTGTCAGGGCTGTAACGTGAAGACTTCTTCCCCTGCCAGAGAGCAGCAACCTTTCCTACAGGTGTTCCAGGTTCAGTAGCTCACAGAAATGCTCCTGTAGGTAGAGCCAATGAGGGACCAGAGATTCACATGAGCAAAACATCAGAGGGTGGAATCTCTTGTTGGAGCAGACCCAAAAGTCACCATTCTCTGTAGGTCTTCCTCCACCTGGCCCATGAATATCACCCCTTTGTACTGGGCAGCAGACCCTGTTCACACACCTTGTCCTGGGGAAAAAACAACCCACCAAGCAGCTGAATTTTAGCTCGTGGTAGAGCTCAGTCCCACACGGAGCAAACCACGGGCAGTGATCCCGCATCCCTGCGCATGCGCCTCAGTTTCACTGTCCTTCCATCTGGTACTCTGGGAGAGAGGGAGCAAGCTCCTGCCCTGGTCCTGGGGGCAGTGGGGCGCGGATGTCGGGGGCCCTCCAATGCCTGCACAAGACAGCAGAGGCCACAGGACACAGGGGATGATGAACGACAGTGAGGAGAGGAAAGGACTCTGCCTTGGCTCAGCTTCCCAGAGGCCGGGCCCTGGGCAGAGTGGTTGGTTCTCGCTGCCGTGTCCAGGCAACCACATCAGCATCTTCCAACTGTGCCTGGCAACTACCACCAGCAGCTGGTGGGCATCACCACCTCGGGAACAACAGGGACGAGGCAGAGGCCAGAGGCATGCAGGGGCTCACCCCTTGCCCTGATGCCTGCACCCACGCTGCCAGGGCAGCTCTGACCTGGGAGAGGAGCGGTGCTGGGAGGACCTGAACCGGTGGCTGCGGCAATGGGCACCATGGACGATGAGGACCTGCTGGCCTATTTCTGCATGGAACACAGGTGGAACATCCTGCACCTGCGGAGGTGAGGGGGCTCCTCCACCTGCTCCCATCCCGTCCTCCTGTCTCCTCCAACCTCCTTCCCCTACCATAGCAAACACATCCCTTGTCTCCACCACTTCAGTCTCCTCTCATAGCTCCCTTCCCCAGCCCTGTTCCTCCCTGTAACAGCCCCTGGCTCCGTGTGTGGGATCCCTGCTGGGGAGGGTGGGGATGCCGTGCTGACAGCTGGGATCTAAACCAGGGCTGGGTTGCTGTGCCCAGTCACCCCACTCAGGACCTTGAGGGCAGAGCAACCCCGTGCCCTGCCAAGGCACTGGAGCAGCACATAACCTCGAGGAAACCTCGTGTGCAGGAAGCTGCAGCAGGAAGAGGAGGACTCCCTGTCCGTATTTATCCGCCTCCAGGAGAAGAGGAAAGCAGCCAAACTGATGGGAGAGGCTCTGGAGGCGAAGGAGGTGAGGAGGCTGGGGCATGGCTGGGAGGGTTTGCTGGAGGGCAGGGTCTGGCTGTGGGTGCGAGCAGCAGTCACGCTCGCTCTGTGCTGCCAGGAGTTCGAGGAGAGGGTGAAAGCCGTGGAGCGCTGCTGGCGGGACCTGCACGCCCAGGAGGCTGAGCTGAAAACACACACGGAGGAATCCCTGAGGATCGCAAAGGTCAGCACCGGCCTGAGCCACGTCTGCCCCAGCCGCCTGGAGCCCGGAGCTGGCAGGAGCAGCGCTGGCAGTGAAAACGCAGCCAGGGAGCTCCAGGCCCGGTCTCTCCCCTGGGAAGGTTTCTCCTCCCGGTGCTGCCGAGTGACCCGGCTCTGTCTTCCTATGCCTCCCTTTCCCTCTGTGTGTGTCGGTGGGGAAACACCACCAGGAATATGATAAGATGCGAGTCCAAGCTCTGAAGAAAGCCGCCAGAAAAAGGGAGAAGAAGGTACAAAAGGAGCTTGAGCTCTTGAGAGCTAAGAGGGAACTGGAAGTCTGGAGAAACAAGCATGAGAAACTCTACAACAAAGTGCAGAAATACTCCATCTTCAAAAGATACCTGGAGGATGTGGTGAAGAGCTCACAGGTGAGTTTGCACATGAGGGAGATTATGGCCTCGAGGAGGGCCCCATGTGGGTGTTAAGCCCAGAGGAGACAAAGCAACTCCAGGGAAATCATAACAGTTGTTCAAACCCAGAGACCTCAGATGGCATGAGACGTAGTTCTTTGCAACCAAGGTGAGCCAAGGGGACCAGAATTAGGGGAGGAGAATCAGAAGGGGGATGATTGCTTAAGAAAACTAAAGAAAATCTGTTAGAAAGGGGACAAGCAAAGGGCTGAGGGGGATGGGGACCCCTTGGTGTCACTTTCATGTCACATTGATGGTCTGGGAGTAGGGAAAAGCTGCCTGGGAATGGGAACACAGGCAGTTGGCACAAAAGCTGTGCCTGGGCATCACTCCATGCATCACTCCTGCAGTCCCAGCTGCCCCCTCCCGTGTCCAGCTGACTCAGCAGCTGCAGTTGTGCTGTGTGTCCTCTGCTCCTTGGGGAAGAGGTGCGAGATCTCCCCTTGCTTCCAGCAGTGACAACTGTGGGACTGGCATCATACAATGAATGGGGCCATGCCCACAAAGCAACAGGGGCAATGGTCTTGCCAAGAAGGGAAGATCTTTTGGCGATGGGAGATGTTGTCCCTGGTCAGGGCAGGGAGCCGAGGCAGCACATGACGTGCAGTCACGACGATGGGAGGGCAGGGGGATCACTAACACCAGGAGCCCTGTGCTGCAGTTTGTGGACATCCAAGAAGTCATTTCGCCCTACGAGACGCTGCTGAGGGTACTCAGGGACCTGGAGCAGTTGCAAGAGAGGCATAAGGAAAAGTCCGAGCAAGCCAGGGTGTTCTTGGACCAGTACATAGCGGAGAAAGAAGCTGAGATCCTGCACTACAAACACGAGCTGGTGGAGCTCCAGCAACGTTTTGACCAGGCTAAAGAAGATATCCAGTTCTGGGTGAGGAAATGAGGGGCGGGCAGGGGAAGATTCCCAAGGCATGGCTGTGTTAAGAGCAGGTGATGGCTCACCCCTAAGCCATGGGATCATGGCAAGGCCCAGTAGCAGCCTTTGTCATTGGAGATGTGTAATTTTGTCCTCCCAAGGGGTTGTAGAATGAAGAATGACAGAGCAGGTCTGGAGCAGGTTAGAGCAGGGGTTAAAACAAGGCCCACCTCACAAAGCTATTGTGATCTTTCACTCCTTGAGCTCACAGATCAGCCAACCAGGCTCTGGGGAGATCTGTCTTGGCACAAAACCCAAGCCTCCTCCGCCACATGCCCATTGGGTTTGTCTGGCCTGCTTATAATCATTCCCCTTCACCATTGCAGCATCCTCCCTGTCGCTGGGCTTCAGTGTGGCACATCTCATGGTCCTCACTGCTCATGGCTCAGGCCTCAGGGTGAAGCTGGCTTTGTTCATTTTTATTATCTGCTCATCAGGGCTTACCCCTTCTCCTCCCTCCTCACCAGTCCAGCAGTGACCAGACCGGTGCTGACCTGGGCTGTAGTGAGGCACATCAATGTGCAGCCAGTGCTTAGTGTACAGGAATGCCCCAGCTCTGTTGACCTCTGCTCCTTTTGCACTGCTCTGAGGGGGCCCAGTCAAGTTCACTTGGATACTGCAGGCTCCGGGAGCTGGGTCCCATCAGGCACAGCTGGAAAGCAGCCGGTCTGGAAGGCCAGCAGCAGGATGTGCTGCTCTCAGGGTACCAGCCAGCCCTGCTGGGCAGTGAGGACCTGACCTGCCAGGGTGAGGACTGCAGGAGCTGGCACAGACAGGGGGAGGTTTCTGGAGTGGCTCCTGGATCTGCTTCCACCACGCCAAGCTGAACCACCACAGCCTTGGGCAAGGACAGGTTCTTGCTAGCAAAACAGATGAGTGCTGAAGTTAGGGTCTCCAAGCCAGGGTCTTCAGTGCTGAAGCAGCATCTTTGCTGGAGCATGTCCCCATGTTGCCTCTCTCCTCTCCTCTCAGGAGACTCGCTGGGCTGACATCCAGGAAACAAGTCCCAAGAAAGCCCTGGAGCTGGACACCATCAGGATGGCCATCCTCAACCTCTTCCAGAGTGCCAACAGACAGATGAACGCCAAACTAAACATGCCAGTGGAAGTCAGCCATAGACAACTGAACAGGGTAGAGCCAAGCCCTTAACCCCAGAAGGAGGAGCAGGAATAACTCTCAGCTGCCCAAAGGAAAGAGAGGAATCATCGTGCCCAACAGACACCTTCCTTTTCACTCTTGGGCATGGGGAATGGGCAGGGGACACCAGGCAAACCTGTCTCACCTGAGGAGGTCCCTGTGGGGCAGGAGGCAGGGCAGCCAGGCTGGGGCAGTGGATGAGGGGAAGCAGATCAATCCATGGCCAAGGTTTGGTTTTACTCATCCTTGCCCTGAACTCAGAGTCGCCCACAAAAGCCCATTCTGGTGGTGCAGGGCCAACAAGCTCCCCTCTGCCTCCTGTTCCCATCCCTGCTCTGAGCTCTGCCATCTCCTTTCCCCACCCTAGATTCAGCAGCGTATCCAAGACCTTGCAGACATCTCCATGGAGGGCAAAGAGGACATACAGAACCACCAGTGAGCAGCTGTACCTACAGGACATGGCAATGTGAGGGGCTCAGCAAGGATGGGAAGAGCAGGACAGAGTGCCCGACATAGATGTCGCTTCCACCAGTGAAGTTTCATCCCTTCTGACTCTTGTGTCCTGTACAGTTGCTGCCATCTGTTATTCTATTAAAAAGAACCAAGTACCTGAAGGTGACTCCTAATTTCCTGAGAGGACGGGAATCATCAGAGCAGCTCCATCCCACAGCTTCATCTGGGATGCCTTCTCTGGCAGATCTGGCTCATGCAAAGCACACAAGATAGGGAGAGCAGGCTGGGACAGGAATATAGTCTCAAATAGGGAGTAGTACTAGTGCTCACATCTGGACATCCTACTCAGCTCTGCGATACCTGGAGGGATGACACAATGGGGTGGGGGGACTACAACCAGCACACCCGTGGATGTGGGTTTCTCCACACAGCCACGTGCTACATAATAAAACTCCGCTTCCCCCTCAAATGGAGCTCAGGAAGGCACAGATTAACCCCCTCCCTTCCCCAAACCTCTGCTTTCATGGGCGACAAGGAGAACGGGTGCCCCCCAGAGCTGGTGCTGGCTGCATATTTGGAACGCAGAGGAAGGATGGGTTTGGGGAGGGAACACTTGCTGCAGAGCCTCAGCAGAGGATGCTCCTTCTGTGGCTTTGCTGTTGTTATCTGCAAGCTTGAATTTGTAGGAATAAACACAGAAACACAGCACCTTAAGTCAGGTGTCAGCAAGGACTCATCCAGGAAATCCAATTCCCCTCCAGTCTCTGAGCTCAGACCCATGTTGGGCCATTGAAGCTTAGTGAGTTACCATCCATCAGCAGAAAATGACCCTGGCAGTGTCCTCGCTGTGATGCCACTGCAGAAGGAAACACAAGGAAAGCCCCCATTGCAGAGGGAAGGGCAGTAACTGCTTCCCAGCTGTTATATGTGGAAAAAGAGCCCATTTCTTTCTGAAACCTTGACATGCAAATGCAGTGGGGGCCACGATGTGTCCTGTGTAGGTCTGAACAGATCCCCAGAGCAGTGGGAGGTGAGTGGCATCTCAGCTGGCAAGGAAAAGTAAACGCTGCAGCCACCATGTGCCTACACTTCAGTGATTATATTACATTCATTCTATGAAGCAGGGATCATTGTCAGGGAGGAGCAGGGGTGGGAAGGAGTTCAGGTGGCAGCAAAAGAGGCAGGAGGATGCCCTCACTGAGAGGACACAGCCCAGCGGTGTGAGAGCAAGAGCAGAAAGGTCCATGGCTGTGCCCAGTGATGCCCATGCCAGTCTGCAGTGATGAAGCAGCTCTAAGGTGAAGCCAGAAAGTCAAGTCAGGAAGGTAAAGAGAATTAGCCAAGTACAAGGCTGGGCACAGGCTTACCTAAAAGGCAAGGACCAAGGATCTGAGTGTAAATACAGCTCTGAAGCAAAGCAGGGGAAGCTCCAGGGAAGGCTCCACACAGCTCCTCATGTCTTGCCTGTTTTCCCAGTGTCAGTAGCTGCCCACTTGAGGGCTGGCCCTGAGCACAGCCAGCCAGACCATGGTGAGTAGGAAAGGGGTCACAGAGCCTGCAGGTGCACTGAGACCTCCTTGCATTGGGCTGCACCCCCAGAGCATGAGCAGCAGCTCAGGGAGGGGATCCTGCCCCTCTGCTGTGCTCTGGGGAGACCCCCCTGCAGTCCTCATCCAGCTCTGGGGCAGCAGCACAAGAGGGACGTGGAGCTGTTGGAGCGAGGCCAGAGGAGGCCATGGAGATGCTGCGAGGGCTGGAGCAGCTCTGCTCTGGAGCCAGGCTGAGAGAGCTGGGCTGGGGCAGCCTGGAGAAGAGAAGGCTCCTGAAGGGGAGACCTGAGAGCAGCTCCAGTGCCTGAAGGGGCTGCAGGAAAGCTGGAGAGGAGCTTGGGACAAGGGATGTAGGGACAGGCCAAGGGGAATGGCTTTAACCTGCCCGAGGGGAGACTGAGATGAGCTCTTAGGCAGAAGCTCTTCCCTGTGAGGGTGCTGAGGCGCTGGCACAGGGTGCCCAGAGAAGCTGTGGCTGCCCCATCCCTGGCAGTGTTCAAGGGCAGGTTGGACACAGGGGCTTGGAGCAAGCTGCTCTAGTGGAAGGGGTCCCTGCCCGTGGCAGGGGTTGGAGCTGGAGGAGCTTTAAGGTCCTGTCACTCCAAACCAGCCTGAGGTTCTATGATTCTATAAATGGAATGCTTTCTCTTGCTCTTTTTGTAGCCCCCCACATGGGGGCTATGGATCTGCAGTGATTCCTTGTATGAGAAGACCTTCCCCTAATTCCCAAGGGCATACCCTTCCTGCTGCCATGCCTGGGACTCCTTCCCCAGCAATGAGACACCTCCAGCATGGCTGCGCTCTCACCATGGCAATGAGAGGCAGGTGCTGAGAGCACTTCAGGACAGGGAAAATCCATTTCTCAATGGGAAACGAATACATTCACTTGTCTTTGCATGGAGTGATCCATGCTCAGCCTGGGACCAGGCCTCAGGAGCAGCCTGTCCCCTCCTTGGAGACAGCAGCTCTCTGTGCCAGGGCTGGATCTTGAAGCCTTCACCCCATAGGCAGCAGCATCCTCGGGCACTGACCCTTCTCTTGCTCTTCTGGGACGCCAAATACACAGCAGCAGAAGAGAGGAAAAGCACAAGAGAGAGCGATCCCCTCGGGGATCCCAGGGGTTGCTGAGTGCCTCACAGAGGCTCTGGTGATGGCACCAGGAGCTGCTGCCTGCACTGGGAAAGCCAGCCCATGACTCATGAGCCGAGGATGCGCGTTTGTGGCCTTGTGAATCTCAGCAGTGATGTGTCCGAAGGGACCAGCAGCATTTCCACCCATCGCAGAGGTGACTCAGCTGTCCCCTCTCCTTCCGCCCACTGCCACGGCTCACCACATCACCTCGATGCATCTCACTGGGGGCAGCAGGCGGAGCTGGGGCGAGCTAATGGGAGAGGAGGAAGCGGGGCTGCAGCTCTGAGCTGAGTGATGGACAAGGCTGTCTGCAGGCTGAGCTTGTGCAGAGGACAGACGATGGGGCAGGTTCCTGAAGCCCTTTGAGCCAGGTCAGAGAATTCAGAACCTTCAGCATGGGACAGAAAGGAAACAGGCCTTGGTCCAACCAGGAGCTTTCTGACCTGTTTCAATCTATTTTCTGCCTTTCATTGAGCAGACTGGGCTTGGCTGTGTCTGTCAGCCAGTACATCACACTCAGCATGTCCCTTACAACTGAACTCAAAGGCCAAGCTGAAGACCTGTGCTCCTGACTGGTCCTGATGCCATGCTCAGCCCCAGCAGCCCTCACCATCCTGAACGTGAAGCTGCAGGACATGTGGATGCTGCTCTGCAGTATCATTTGCTGGAGCTGCTCAGTTCTGTGGCACCATCCATGCCCCACATACTGAAATACCTCGTTTTAGAAAGTCAGAGACCAGCAATTGAAGCTTGGGGGCAGATTTTACCTTTTCTTATGTGCCATTTATGCCACACTAGCAGAGCAAAGAGCAGATCCCACCAATGCCCAATTTACTTTTTTGGACAAAGCGAAACCACTGTGACTGGTGATGCCATGGGAATATGGAAGGAAAGACTAAAATGACCTATTTAGGTATTAGGGTTTCAGTTCTATGATGCTTTGTGTAATGAACAAGCTTTTTGTGTTCATAACCTGCCTTCTCCCTGGGGAATTGCTGGGCTTGGATTTGTTTGCATTGTGCTTTTTGGGTTGGGGTGGGTTTTTCTGTAAGATTTCTTTCTCTTGGCACAGAGAAGAGATGATTAAAGCATTGGCTAAATGCACAGTGTGCTTTGCCTCTTGCTGATGGCAAATTTCCAGCACATGGAGATGTTATTGGTTTCATGTGGACTCTGTCAACGTTTCCTCTGGAGCAGCCTGCGACTCCACCCGCGTGGGCATGAGCAGGCACCGCTGGTCCTCCCCACTGCTCCCTGCTCTGCAGGGCAGCTCTGCCCCAGCACCTGGGGGGGTTCCCACTTCAGGGGCTTGTGCCCCGAGTGGCCACATGCAGAGAGGCCACTGCACAGCCCCAGTGACAGGAACATGCTCTGACACAGAGCACGCTTGTACGGAAAGGTCCCTTAGGATGCTTTCCCTTGGAGACCTGCTACCTCGCCTCTGGGGCACTCTGCAAGGGAGCATGGGGACAGCCCTGTGCTAGCACTGACCAATGTCCTCAGCAGTGACTTCAGAAGTTACTTCAGACATTGTTGGTTTGTTATCCCCACAATTAGCACTTATCCAGGACATATCCAGAACATGGAATGCCAAGCACCACTGGGTGCCAGATGGCAAAGACATGGAAGTCATTAAACCCAAATTAGAGCCCATGCAGTTTGCAGCCTCCTGATCCAAGAGAAGATGTGGGTGCCAGAGCTTCCTGCTCCCCTCTCAGCAGTCACTGGCATGAGAGCACATCATACCTGTGGGTGAATGCAAGCTTCCCTGGTCCTGCACGACTGACAAGACCCAGCAAAGCCCAGACTCCGTCCTGCCCCTCTGCTCCTCCTCAGCCCATCTCCCACCTCCTTGTCTTCCCCGGCACGTCCACCATGAGGTGTTCTTTAGTCACCACCAAAGGCCCTGCAGTGTGCAGGCCTGCCTGCCCTGCTCCGGAGCTCCTGGAGGGTGGGATACAGGAGGCAGACCAAGAGAAGAGGCGGTGCAGCCAGACACCCTTCAGTGCTCCATTAAGCAAAGTGCTCACAACCCATCTATAAATGGTACCATTGAGGCTTGGTGAGGACAGAAGGCTGTTCTCAGTGAACCAATGTATCAGTATACTGACAAATAAAGGATACAAACCCAGGGAGGCTGTTTTTTACCTTTCCAAAGATTTTTCAGCCTGGCCCAGAAGTGAAATGTTAGGTAAAGAATCAGAGATGGAGGGTTGGGAATCCTGCTGCAGCAGCTCCTGTACCACTGCAATACCAGGGAGCTCCAAAGTCAACCTGACTTTAGGATCTTGCTTCTGTTCCACTTCAACCACCCTGGTGTGACACAGCCTCTGCAGAGGTCCCAGGCAGGGAAAATACCTCCAAACCAAGCTTCCAACAGACATTTATTTGGGTTGAAATCATTGCACATGAAACAGTGTCGCTCCCGTGCGCTGCACACCTTTGCCATGGGTTAAACTACAGGCCAAATAGTATTGTACAACCAGGACAGAAGCCTCCTTCTCCATGACCAGCCACACAAACACAGAA